TAGGGTGGTATGTATGAAAAAAAATAACCAAATTTTTCAAATTACTCCTTCCTAATAAGATCCATTACTAAAAATAATGATATAAATAAAGTTTTAGACAAATCAAATAAATTTAACCCGTGCCACAACAGCTCTGCAGTTACAAACATAGAAAATTTTTAAAAATCGTTAAGTTATTTTAATAAAACCAACATAACTCTAGGGAAAAGAATCTCACGATAAATTCTTTAGATTATAAATTAAAGAAAACTAAATTTACAATAGTTTGTTTTCTATAATCTATATTTTAAATTTAAAGCTTTTTTAATTATTTGAACTAAAAGGTCAAAAAAAAATAATCATAATCATTATCGGCTACAAATAAATAATATGCACTTTACCCAGTACCTATATTTTGTGATTATTACCTAAAGATTATTTTTATGACTCAGACAATCAAATAATATATTATCTACATTCTTTATTCTTTACATTACACATTATTACAATCTATACTTATATGTTATCGGATATATCATGTCATTGTAGTCATTTTGCTATTTATTGATTAATTTCTCAGTTGACTTACTACAACGACCAGTGTCACACTAAAATTGTTGAGTATTAAATTTTCAAATTTTGTACGTCATACATTTTATTTTACTGACTTACAATAGTTACCAGGGATAGTTTACGTGAGTCGAAGTATATTTTTTTGATTGGATATAGTACAAATCAAATTGTTGGTAGTAAATTACCATCAAACAAACAAGTTTTGTCGGTACTATTTTTTAATATGCGTGAAGTAAACTTAAATTTGCATCAAAGTGCTACATTAGTGATACAAGAAGCAATCATTTTTTGGCGGAAGGCACGCATACCAGCGAGAACAGAACAAAAGTGTGTGAACAAGCTGGAAGGTTTATACAGAGAGTGGAGAAATTTTTAAAAATTAGAATATAGAAAAAGTGCAACGCAAATGGAAAAAAATACGCAGTTTCTATCAAAGTTAGATGATTTATTCGACGTAGCGAGTGCAAATGCATTAGATTTACTGTCTATTGAGAATGACAAAGCATTTTTAATAGCCCAGAGACAGAAAGGTCGACCTGGGTCGTTGCTTGGTATTGATCAAAAAATGATAAAAAAAAAGAAAAAATCATAGAAGATAGCAAACAAGCGACAAATAAAAGAAAATATCGTGCCCGTGATGAACTGGAAGCTTTGTGTACGTTTTTAGTCTATAATATTAATTTTTAAAAGGTTCCAACATACCTGGGGAACAATAAATACTAAAAATTATAATCCTGGCATACAAAATAGTATTATAATGGATTCTGTAAATAACGTATGTGATGATATTATCAAATTTTCTAGAGATCAACTTTTAGAAAATCACCCAAGAGATGATTACCGAGTTACTAGAATTAACAGCAATTTTTCTGGGTGGAAAACTTCCTAATAATATTCGATTTAAAATGCCAGGTGCCATTCATCACGCGCGGTGGATGACCAAAGCTATTTATAGCTTGAAAATATATTTATTTCGCGAACAATTTCATTTAACACCAAAAGAAGAAAGTGCTTTGAGAAGTATTTGCGTTTTTATTGTACGATTATACAAAAAAGTATGGTTCAACTCACCATCTTCAATCAAAGCACCATTACAAGACTTGAATTTTATAAAAAGTCTTTTACATTATACCTCTATAGACAAAGATATATCTCAGATTGCAGTTAAAAAGTTTTGTGGTCACTTATGGTATTTATCTGCAGAATTATGTGATTTTGCTTTTTTCGATGAAGCTGTGCCACTGGAGATAAAAAGAAAAATTGGGTCATGCTCTAAACAACGACGAAAGTTCATCAGAATTAATTTCAAATGCACAACGTTTAACTATATCGCCAAAAAATGCAAATGAGTTATTGAAAATCGATGATTTTATATGTGTTAATACTAAAACACTATTTAAACGATTTTCCATCAACACCATTTTTTTGAATGAAGATCCAATTAATTGGGAAAATAATGGAGACTATTCTAAAGCTTTGTTAGTTATAAAAAATATTCCAGTAATAAACGATATAGCAGAAAGAGGAGTAAAACTTATAGAGGACTATAATGAAAAAATTACCAAAAACGAATCTCAAAAATAATACCTTCTACAAGTTGTTAGTGATTACCGCAAAAAATATCCTGACCACAAAAAAGAAAAACTTACTGCACTATCACAATAATTTGGTATTATCATTTATAATTAAAATATATTACAGATAAAATAATTAGGTAACAATGTTATTATAATTGTAAATTAAATAATAAATAATTATTAGTTGTATTTTAAGTTGCCTTAAATATTAAAATGTTTGAAAAAATAATATATTTGCAAAATATTATATATGAAACAAATTGTAGAAAATGTAGTGTTCTATCATTTATATTTTAACAAATTTTTTGTAAGTATTTTTTTCCTGGAGTTATATTAAAAAAAAATTTAAAAAATTGATAATATTGAAAATTTTCTATTTTTGTAAATTTAGAGCTGTTGTGGCACGGGTTAATATTAATATTAATTAATAAATTTGCCTGAAATTTTTTTTGTAGCGATTTTTTTAGTAATCAAACCTTTTTAGNCACCAATTTGTATGTAAATAACTTGAACGTACAAAATATTAAAAATGTAGTTGGTAACTCTGTAAAATGTCATCACAGTTTTGATGAGTTTTTTGAAATATTTTATTTGTTTGACAAATTATTATTTTATTAACTGTGGTAATAATATTGATAAATGATTAGTGCTTTAGTGCTTTAAATATTTTACCATAATATGATATATATATATAATGGTTATAATCGTCACGTAAAAATCTACATTCAGTAAGAAATTTCCCCTCTACTACCTTCCCCAATTCACACCTACCACAGTAGCCCATCCACGTGCGAACTACGTCCGCCTTTTTATAAGTATATTTTTAATATTATTATATTGGAAAGAGGCTATTATTATTAACTTACAGATCTATAAAGTTTGATTATTATTGACTTTGAAATCTTATTGTATTTTTAATTCATACTATATTTTAAATTATTATAATTATTATTTAAACAAATATTTTTTTTTTTATAATATAGTTCAAAATTGAATATAACAACATCAGATTTTTTGTATGCGCAATCGTGTAAATAAACCAATATGGAATTATGGAATTCAACTGTAGGGTTGTGCCAGCAAGTCCAATATTGAGATTATTCAATGTTGCCAGAACGTCGTTCTCCGTAACATTGTCGCAACATACCGATATGACAGAAACGACATTATACACCGGGATATGATGATTACCTCCGCCCAGAACGAGTTTGCTCGCAAATATTAGAAAAATCTGGGTCAACACACCAATCCAGCAGCAATTTAACTATTCGACAACTCTCAAGATATTAGACGATACTTACGCCAAAGACCATATGGCTTAATATATGATTGTTAGACTAAGACCGGGGCTACTCCACTGGGAGTGAAACTCAATAGGTTTATTTTGTTTCTTTCTTGTATATTGATACATCACAAGTATTTATGTACACCCTTGAAAGGTATTGTACTATTGTTAAAGATCTTTGATCGTTATAATAAAAGCTTTTGGACAGTTAAAAAAAAAAAAAAAAAATCGTGTAGGTTTTCTTTTGTATTTTTATATCCTTAGTTACGCCGACAAATTTGCTCAATCGTGTCGTAAAAAATATGTTTTATGATTAATCGTGTCGTAGCCATTAAAAATGTAACAAGAATGGTCTCTTGTTGTTTTTCTATTGGAACCTTAAAAATTTGAAATATAAAATTAATATTTAATATATTTTTTATTATATATATAATTTATTTAATATAATTCAAATATAAATTGATCAGTTTTTATTTTTTGGTTTTTCACAACTATTATGAAAACTGCATGGAAAATCAAAAATTGACGAAAAACGTTGATGTAGGTACCAACTCATGTTTAGATTTGTTTGGCATATGTTCTTACAAAATACTATCGATTTATTTTATTGAAGCTGATAACACAAAGGTCACAAGCATATTATATTTTCTACCTATCTATCTATTATAGTTTAAATGCTAAGTATTTTTATTTTACAGTTCACATTTTCCAACCTTTTTATTTAATCATTATGAACTTTCAGACAACTTTAAAATGCATGCCTTGAGAATCATAACATACATTTTTTTTAACAGTATGTAACAGTATAGCGATTAAGAAAATATACATGGTCTTTAAAAAAAAAAAAATTAAGCTGTGTAAAATTAATTGGTAAACAATTTCGGACTTTTACCAATGGCGGTTGTTTATCCTAAGATTTACCAAATCTTATTTGTAAAAGTACGAATTACATAAATCATTCGTGGTTAGACCAAACTATTTAGCGTATCCTGAGTTTTACTGAAATCAGTAATGTCCGAAATCAGGACATGTACCGACCACAGTTGATAAAGTCTAGGATTTACCGGTTTTCGTGTTTTTACCGTAACATATATACTATATAGAGGTATATAAAAAAGACGTATATACTTTGCACGAAAGGTGGGCCACTTTTGTGTAAGTGAGAATTTGGGAAGGTAGAATATATTGAGGAATATAATGTATTTTTAAATGCAACGGTTAATCATTGCTAACGAAAAACGATTTGAAACGGAGTTCATAAGCGAACTCCGTTTCATATATGTTTAAAAAGCCGCAATATTTACGATTATTCATTTTAATATTAAAATTCTTATAAGAAAAAAAAAAATACTACATAAATTCAACTTTTTCTTTTTGGCCACTAAGTACAACTTATAATGGACCTCCTATTACATTTTTAAGTATTTCTGTTTGGTCTAACAATTTTACCTACTGAGTACCTACAGAATAAATATTACAAGAAACAATTAATATTAAAATGTCTATAAATATCTCAGAAAAAGTTCAATGATTTTAAAATTGGATCACGTCTATAAAAGTCAAATTTAAGTTTTCTCTTAAAATTCAAACTCTCTACGAAGATAGTAACTGAATCACAACAAAAAAACTCGAAATTTTAATTTATAAATGCTCGTTGTCTGGTTGCCATAGTGTATAGAAATAATACATATACACAATGATTAAAATTATTTCAGTAAACACTAGAGAGATACACAACAAGGAGTAACAAAAAAAAGTCAAGACAATATTTAGCACTATAAAGTAAACAGTAAAGTATTCAAGATAAATAATACAACTTAGAACTAAAGAATTCAAATATTTTCAAACAGTGTTTCATTTCCAAAAAAAAAAAAAAAAAAAAAAAAAAAATAAAAATTATTAAGTTTATTACCTAGAGTTGAAATTCAATTAACTGGTGTTAATAGGTGATAATTAGGTTTATAAGTAGGTAAGTAAGTAAATCATGGATTTTAAAATTATGTTTGGAACATTTATATTAATTAAAGCAAGTATTCCAGGACCTTCTAAATTTCAGATTTTCTACATTAAATTTTAAAGCAAGATGACATTGCAAAGTTAGTTCAACATCATTGTTTGTTTTTTATGTTAGCATACGTAAAAATCGATTTTGGATTCCTAATTTTTTGTCTAAGATATTCTTGATATTCTATGGGGGCACCAGATTAGGGAACCATGCTCCAGAACTGATCTTAAGAAATCGTAGCGATAAATAAAAAAACATGCAAGCGATTTAGATCAAAAGACTCCCAGCAGTTGAGTTGATTAAATAGATTTATTATGGATTTCATTAATATATTCGGTAAATTTAAAATCACTAGAAAAAATAGGTTAAAGACCGAAGTCTTTAACCTTAGATGCGGTACTGTATTTTTTTTGTTAATTATATGATAATTGAATATAAAATTCCGCCTATTTCTAGTTAATGTGATTTAAATACATTTATCTGTATTTAAGTTTAGACTGTTGTTTGTATACCATAAGCAGAACTGATTGATTTCATGTTGTAGCTTATTATAATCATTTATTGAAAAAATTGGTATAGTTTTAAATCATCTGCAAATAAAGCGGATTTACAAAATTGAAGTATATTATTTAAATCATTGATAAAAATAAAAAAATACCAGGAGCAAAAGATGACCGTCTTGCGACACTTCAGAAGTTACATTAATATTATGTGAGATTTTTTGGTCAGACAGGTATGAGTTGAACCATAAAAAAATTAGATTTCTTATACCAATAATGTCTAGTTTATTTATTAATATATTAATTTATATTGAACATTATTACTTACTGATTGTATTAAATCTGAATAAAATTGAAAATAATAAAGGCATTATTTTCCTAAATTTTCACGTTTTTCTGTTATAATGAAAACTACTCAAAAATAAAAAAAATATTCTTAAATTACCACCCTAGAAAATGTTAAAACACTTAAAATCGGAGTAGGATTTCTAGCAGAATTAAAAAAAAATAATAATAAACATCATTTTAAACCCAGTACATTTCTTGCTTGCCACTCAGAATCTAAAAGGGCCACATATAGAAAGAGCTTTACTGGCTAATGCCAGTAAAGTCCTGTCCAAAAAAATGTTTGTAAAATAGTTATGATTATTCATGTGACCATAATTTATTAAAGGGATATGGATATATAATAAACAGAGCCAAGAAAGAATACAACCACACCATTCAAGTACTACTACAATAATGTAGGAAATTAATTTAAATATAAACCTTTAATGATAAACTAGTATAAATAGACCTAGGTAGACAAAATTTAAATGAATTTATGTTTATATATGTACTTATTGTCTATAATGTTTTTATCATTGATTGATATATTTTCTTATATTAAATGTAATTTTAACTCTGGATGTACCATTTAAGGAGAGTAAATGTTGAATAGTAATCAAATTATTATTCTATGTGGTAAAATTGAATAAGAAATTACAAATTTATTTATAAATTCACTTTATTATATAAATATTGACAGTTGTTTCCATATTATAATACATTAACATGATTTTAATGTTTTATTTTAATTATATTATATTAAGTTACAAAAAATAAAAAATAATTTTGTTATTGGCTGTCATATATTTGAAATTCACTTTATATTACTTACTAAACAGTATTATAACAATATATTATTAAAGGTTACATGCATAATTAGGTTAGGATATTAGATATATTGGGAGCCAATTATAAATATAACAAGATAATAGAACATAGTCTTTACTAAATTGTTATTGGTTACATTAATAATTGATTATTTAATAGAAATGAATGATTTAAAGGAACATATATAAAACTTACTTAAAAAGCAATATATTTTTGAAAGAGTAATTTACTTTATGAAAATACTATTTATATTTTTGACAAAAAAATAAAATAAAATATAGTAAGTCATAACATAATTAACAGTCATTAGAAACCAATAAATTTTATTCAACAGTAATTCTCCCACATCATTTACAATTCAAACTAATAAATAAAGAACACATGAAAATATATGAAAATCAATTTAAATTATAATATTGATGTATGCAAATATCACAAATGAAATACATAAAACACATTTTTACTAATAAATACCATTTAATATAAACAGTGTCTATAATTAGCTGCTATAAAATTAGCTACAGAAAAATATTTAAATGTTTGTATAAAAGTTATATTCAGTTGTGTTCATTAATTTATTAAAATAATATACACATGATTATCAATAGCAGATAAAATAAAATATTATTTGGGATAAATAATAAACAGAGCCAATTGGATGGAAGAAAGAATACAACCAACAGCATTCAGTTACTATAACAAGGTAAGTCAATTTAAATGCTCAAAAATAGCTCAATGTTTTGAAAATTTGATCACATCTATAAAAGGCAAATATAAGTTTTTTTAATATAGTAAATCAATATATAAATAAAAATGTATATATAAAAATAAAAAATAAATGAATGTGTTGCATTTTACATTTTGACTGACACCTGATGATGAATTTTTAATTCCAAACTGGTCATATAATACATTTGCCATAATACTCCAAGTAACACATTCTTTCATTTTTGTATTTTATTTTTATATATATATATATATTTTTATTTATATATTTATTTAAAAGAATAAACCATTTTAACAATTTTGTTTTTACTTTATTATTTTATTATAAATTGTTTGTCCAAATTTCAAGTTTCTATAAAGATTATAATTGTATTTGTGAATTACAACAAAAAATACCTAATAAAAGCATTATTTACACACATTTGTCTCCGGTTTTCCTTACTATGAAAACTGCTGGAAAATTCAAAAACATAACTTTCCTGCCACCCCAGAAAAATTTACTTTCAGAAAATGTGCTACTCTTGAAAATCTGAGAAAAATTTCTAACACAATTTTTGTAGTTATAAAAAAGAAAAAATATATTGTAAAGTCAATACATTCCTTGCTTGTCACTTAGAATCTAAAAGGACCAAATATAGAAAGAGCTTCACTGGCTTATGCCAGAAACTAGAAAAGTAGGTAATACAAATAAACACTATGAAATGAGCGTTTAGAATATATGTGAGTTATTGAAGCATTATTTAGCAACTTAAAGAATGTATATTAATCAGAAAACCTAGTCAAATTGTTATTTTTATTTCAATATCATCAGAATAAAGAATATTTTCATCTCCAAAACCTTATAAAATCACTTTCAATTTTTTTTTTATCTAAATTAATTAATACACCTAATTGTCTAAAAATGTCATAAATCTATAATTAAAATTAAACAATATAATCAATGTTACATTGTCGTATAAATAATATAGAATCCATACAATGTATTTTTAAACGAAATTAAGTTTATACTTTAATACAAATTAATAGTTTCTTAATTCTAAATTTTTTAGTAAGCTATTTTCAAGAAGCCTCTTATTGTACAGGTTGCTGGGACTAAGCCTACCAACTAACATCAATAAGAAAGACTAACAAGTATGTAACAATTACAATAAAATTTATTAATTGTAAACTGAAATTGTAAGTATTATTCTTTAGGTATAATATATATTTATTAATAAAATAAAAACATAATTATTAAATGGTTAATATTAGTAAACAAATATACAAATAACTAATTAATTTATATATATATTTTAATTGGATACCAAATATTTTTACCATAGTAGGTACATATGAGGTTTAGCTATTAAATAACGAGACTGCGCGCGCAGAGCGCCGTCCCAAAAAGGTTAGGGGAAAACCGAATACAGCGCTGGTTAGCTGGAAGTGTCTATTATTCCAGTACAAAATTGGGTTTTTGTTGNGGTTAGCTGGAAGTGTCTATTATGCCAGTACAAAATTGGGTTTTTGTTGGTGCATTAGTATTTTTTCTGTAGCGTTTAGAAACGAACATGTTTTTTTCTCTTGCCGAAAACGATGTGTGACGAAAAACATGAGCAACACATAAACGTAAAATTTTCTCGTTAAACTAAAAAAAAATCCAACTAAGTGCTATAAGTTGTTAAAAGAGGCCTATAGTGAAGATTTCCTATCTCGGGCGGGTGTTTTTGAATGGCATAAATTATTTTCTCAAGGTCGAGAGTGCACCGGAATCCAATTCAGTCGTAATCCAAATTCAAAACCATGCTGATCGTTTTCTTCGATATCAACGGCATCGTGATGACTGAATGGGTTCCAGAGGGTCAAACTGTGAACCAACATTACTATTTGACAGTTTTGGCAACATTGCGCGAATGAGTTTGTAAGAAACGGTCGATATTGTGGAAAAACAAGTCGTGGATCTTGCACCAGGATAAAGCGTGNTAAAAGGAATCCGGTTTGAGTCGATGGAAGAGGTGAAACAAAAATCGGCGGAACTCCTAAATGGTCTTATGAAAACAGACTTCCAGCACTGCCTCGAGTAATGGAAGAAACGAATGAAACGGTGTGAAAAGGGGAGGAGAGTATATTGAAGGGGAACATTTGGTTGTGGAATAATTTTTAAAATAAAACCATTTTTCATAAGCAGTCTCGTTATTTATAGCCAGACCTCGTATATAGTATTCAATTAAAATGTATACCTTTATAAACCTGAGTAAATGTATTTGCATTCTTTTATTCCAGTTACAATAACAATGGTAAAGGTGGGTATTACAAAATATATTGTCTATTAGTTTTTAATATACAAAAGTTGGCATATTCATCATATTAATATATTATATTACATTATAAATTTATTATTATATTAAAAATACAAATTAGAGATTTATAATATCCTACTATAAATAATTTAATTTTGAATAGTAAGTGTTGTACAACACATAAGTAGTATGGAATTTGTATTTTATAAATAACTAGAACAGGTAAATAAAGATATGCTATAAAAAACATTATTTTCATATTTTTCCCTATTATTAAGGAAATCACTAGAAAAATAAAAAAAGCATACACTTTCTAAAGTACAATCCCAGGAAAATTTACTTTCAGAAAATGTGTTACACTTGAAAATTGGAGCCATATTTTTGTAGTTATACCAAAGAAAAAAAAATATTGTAAAGTCAATACATTCCTTGATTAGGACTCAGAATCTAAAAGGACCATATATAGAAAAGGCTTCACTGGCTAATGCCAATCTAACTCTGTAAGTAGGTAATACAAATAAATACATAAAATGAGCGCTTAGGCTATATGTGAGTTATTGAAACAGTATTCAGCCATTTAATATAGTTGAATAATTAATATAACAAATGCATTTTTATCATAAAACCAGGTCAAATTTTTATTTTTACATTAATATTATCAGAATAAAAAATATCATCATCTTTTTATTTTAAATTCTGAGTGAAATAAAGAATGGATTCGTTTTACAATGAAATATATTATTTTTTTATTATTATTTTAGATGTACACTTCTTTTAACAGAATGCATACTTTGATTATCAAGTATAGCATCTTTGCTGAAAGGAAATGTTCTCTGGGTGGTACTTTAAAGAGGTCATCTTTTGAAACTATCATTAATATTCAAGATAATGAGGAAAACCTTGGTCTTATAGTTAAATATGATTGATAGATTAAAAATAAGGCTGCCATTGGCAACCACTTTTATTTAATTTTTGTTATTTTTAAGTTTTATTATTTTTATCTTTTTTAAACAATCATTGTTGTCATGGAAACACACATTATTTTATCATTTTATCATAATATGACATATACTATATATTGAATTGTTGACAAAGCAACATTATCAACTGAACTCCACTCAGAATCGTTTTTCTATAGCATTGGTTTATTGTTGCTTACAGGTATACATTAAATTCCTGTCTGTATCCTACCTTCCCAACTACAATAGTGGCTACACCCAAATGCAAAGTATGTCCATTCTACTAAATTAATTTACACACATAATGTATAATTGTTACATTGTTATATACAGAATGATTTACTAAGCATGCTCATGCTATTTTTATTTGATAGCAACATTATTAAAAACAATATATTCTTTAAACCAATAGACATTAATGAAATTGATTTGACAAATTTTTTTCTTAAAAAAGTATGTAAATCTATTTCCTTAATGTTAACAATTATTTTTAATAAATCACTATTAACTGGTAAATATCTTTTGTCTTTTAAAAAATGTTTAATTATTCATTCATTCAAATTGGATGATAAATTATTATGCGGAAATTATCGACTGATCACTTTATTAACTTTATCTAAAATATTTGAAAAATGTAGTAATGGTAAATTTCCCAAAGATAAAATCATTTTTTTTTTTTTTAATAAACAATTTGGTTTAAAAACTGGAATGTGGACAAATAACCTGCTATTTGAGATTGATAGCTTTATAGGGAAAAAATATTGATAAAAACTATAAAGCATTGGATATTTTCTTTGATGTACATAAAACTTAAAACTGTGAACCATGATATTTTATTAGAGAAATTAGATAGAGCAGGTATAATCCTTTTTAAATGGAAGAACCCAAAGAGTTAAAATTGATGACTTTGAGCGAAACTTTAGAAATATCTGGTAAGGTTCCTTAAGGAACACATTTAGGTCCCTTATTATTTATAATTTATACTAATTATCTTTTACAAATTAATATTGAATTATTTAGCTTTACTGATAATACTGCCATTTTAATATCAGTTCAAACAGTTAATAATCTATATTATGAGTCTAACAATATTATAAATACTGTCTGTATTTTATTATTTTATTCTGTAAGAATAAAATAAAACAAAATTTATCAAAATTTAAATTTATTCATTTTGAACTTTATTCATCCAATATTTTTACAAATAATAATTTAACAAGTTTATTAGTTAAACTGTATACCTAATTGTAATTCAACCTGCAATCCTAAATATATCAATCTTGGAAAAGTATTATAAATTAAATATCTTGGATTAATTCTTGATTATAGGCTAACATGGGACACATATTAACTTTTTAAATAATAATTTACATAAATTCTTCTATGTATTCAAAGAATTCTTTATTCATCCCTAGTACAATTGTATTATTTGTATGGTTTATCAATTTTAGTAGAAACCTATAATATCCATTTATCCAGATTAAATGATACTATTAATTGTACTATAAAATATTTATTAAATTTACCTTTTCAAACAAGCACTAGTAGAATGAAGCACTGAAATGTAAAAATTTAAATTTATTTATAATCTTTCTATTCTGATAGATTTATTTAGACAAAAACATTTATTACCAATAGTTGATCATGAACAGAAAACGGTAAAAAAAGGACATTTTATATTGGCTTAGATTTATGTGTTTCATTTAATATTAATTTAAATAATTTTAAGAATTTAATTACTTTAAAAAATTAGATTTAAATTGTATTTAATTTCAGTTATTAATTATCTCATATTTGTCACTAATTGTCTATCTATTTTATTTATTTTCTTTATTGGTATCATGTTATTAAGATTTGATACCTCATTGATGCTCTATTATATTAATTAAGTCTCTTTATTCTATTTGTAATTGTAATTTTTATTTTTAATTATCATTGTAACTAAACTTATTCTTGGTTTATATTTTTTTTCTTTTAAGAACTTGCACCCCCAGTACAAGCTCTGCTTTTTAGGGCGCTGCAATATTTATTTAATATTATTTATAATATTTATAATATGTAAAGATTTGTTATTGTTACAATAAATATGATATTATTATTAAAGTTGGTAATACCACAGATACTTCTTAAATGTTGCAAAAAAATCTAAGTATTCGAAAATATTAACTTTAACTACACCTAAAAATCACAAAAATCAGAATTTGAATGTAAGAGCAAAATTTAACCAAAAAAATAAGGTTAGCTTAGTGAATTACAATGTATATTCTACAACTCTGATGGTATCTATGTTTTCAAGGTTTGAATTTTATTTTCAGTAATTAAACTTGACACCACAATATACTTTTTATGAATAGGTATTGAATAAATTTAATTGATGGAGAAAAGAGGAAAAAGACACAAAAACAGTACTACTCATACTAGATGATCCAATTAAGTGGGTATATTCATTATTTCGGAAAGCATTAACTATTTCCGGAATTTGTTTTCTAGAACATTTCTCTCCAACAAAAAAAGGATGCTGCCCATCCTACCCAACCCATTTAACTTAATTGTTCAATTACCATAACTAAAAGAAACTATTACCTTTCGTTTATTTTAAAATTAATATACATGACTAAATGAGTAATGAGTACTTTGTGAAGTTCACAATAATGACAATTGATACCAAAAAAATACAGGTCAACAACTTACCAAATTTAATCTTTCTATGGATGTGATCCGATAGTGTATTTATAGTATTGAAAGACTATAGTCAAAAATTATAAATTTATACTTGTTTGTTAAGAAAAATAATTTCAGAAAAATATTTCATTAATTATTTTTAAAACTTTTTTATACAGGCAGTCTATAACTGAAATTATTATATTAACGTTTTTATTATTTGGAGACACATTTAAAATGGAGACCCAAAATTAGGTCATGACCCTATGGTTGAGAAAGGCAATTATAAACTCTGTTTAAAAATCAATATTTACGTTGGTGAGAAGGGGCCTTAAGAAACAACCAGCTCTAAAATTTTATATTTATGTTATCTTTTGTCACCCTTATTTTTGGACTGTTTTACCATTATCTACTTTTAATTTTCAAATAGCAACCTAATAATAATAATAATAATAATAAGTCCATAGATGGAGTATTAGTTAAAATAAATTTTAACACTAAAATATATAATTTTAATTACATAAACTTAAATAATTTTATAGAACTTTATCGAAGAGATAAGAGATAAAATGTGAGTTTACCCACTTAAATGGATTACCTGGTATATGGAATTTGAATTAAACAATTGAAATATTTGACAGGAAGCCAATGGACTATGATTGTGGTGAATAGATCAATGTTTTACAGTTTTTACAGTCTATGGTAAGTGCTGGATTCACACCACATAAAAGTGCAAAGGATGAGTTGATTACTTCAATGCCAGTTTTCTCACAAGATACAATATGTTGTCTGAATAATATTTATCACTATGTTGACCTTTAAAAGAAAAACAAAAAATTTACTCATATATCTAATAATTACTAATTACTATCTATCTTATTACTAAGACTAGAGACTTATTGAATTTATATATTTTTGATTCATGAAATTATGTAAATAATAAATAGATATTAATTTATTTTACACATAAATAAAAAAAAAAATAGTGAAGTAAATTTTATTTATTTGAACAAAATATTGAATAATAGAATACATATAATAATAATAATAATAATTGTCCATACAATTATTTTTGTGTGAGAAAACAATCATTGTAATGCAAATCTAGCATTATTTAATTGATAGTTGAACAGTATTTGATGTATGGTTGTGTTAGTAATGTAAACAATTCAAACAAATATTGCTAAAACTGTTATCAAAAATTTGATACAATTTTCAATATTTAATACTGTACATGTTTCTAAGGAATCAAACACAAAAATTGAATTATTAAATATTTCTAATCCAATGCAGGAACGAATAAAGTTTAGCTCTCAAGCAATTTTTTGGAATTTTTTTTGAAAATGTATGTTAAAACATACATAGCATGTTTAATTTTATGGTACTTTCAAAAAAATGAACTCAAACATCCATTGAACATTTTGGTCAAAAAACTTCAAAATGATTGGTTTTCCTAAAACTTTTGTTTTTAAGTTTTAAATACCAAAAATTTAAAAATGTGTACATTTATTTTGTAAATGTTAATATCTATACGTTTAACATTTTAGTGAAATTAGAATTTACCTATTGTACTTGCTTTTCATATTACTGTTAACAAATCATGTAAAGTATCTTAATTATAAAGTTATATCAAACATTTGCATATTAAAGTAACAAAATTAAAAACAAAAAACTGATGGGGGAGGTCATGGATAGTACACCTTGTACCACATGCACCATATCTATATCTCACTTTATTTGTATTAGTTCTACATCTATAGTCGAATAGACTTTTATTTATTTTCTTAATTTACTAAAAACAATAATTTTTAGCTACTAATTGAAATAAAGTGGATAAATTTTTGATTAAAAAAATACAAGTAATAAGATAGAATACAGATGAAGACAATTCCAAAACAGAAAAAAACTCTTTATCTTCTGTAAATACCTTGTCAAGTTTTAAAGAAAAATCAGAAAATCCTTCTAAAAAATTCAAAGGTAAATATCATCAATATAATGAAAATGATTTAAAATTAGGATTATTTTGGGTCGGCGACAAACACTGTCTTATTCCTTTTTGTATTATTTGTGATGAAAAATTTTCGAAAGAATCAATGGTTCCCAATAAGTTAGAATATTTTACCACAAAACATCAATAATTATAAAGTAAATAAATTTATTATTTTCGAAGGCTTTTAGATTCTAGAAAACTACAATCAACAAAATTTGTAAAACCAGTGAAAATTTCAGATAAGGCACAAAAAGCTAATTTTCGTATTGCCCAATTGATAGCTCAAAAAAAAAAAAAAATTTTTATTTAATTACCGAAAGTCTTATTATGCCAGCTTGTCATATTATGATAAAGACTATATTAGGAGTTGAAGCAGAAAAAGAAATACCATTATCTGATAGGATAATTAGTCGAAATATTATATATCAGAGGATATTGGGGAGCAGGTTATTGAATTTATAAAAAGTGGAAAATGATTTGCCCTGCAAGTTGATGAATCAACAGATATTAGTGGGAAAGTTTAATTAATGGCATTTATTAGATTTATTGTAAATTCAAAAATAGTTGGTCAATTTTTTTGTTGTAAAGAATTATCTGGAACAACTGGTCAAAATGTTTTTGATATAATAAATAAATATTTTAAAAATTATTGTATATTGTGGACTTTTTGTGTAGGTATTTTTACAGATGAAGCGTCATCAATGACAGGCTCTATTAAAGGATGTATTACAATTGCCAAAAATCAAAATCAATATCCAAATATAAACACAACTCAGTTTTTTACACAGTGAGGCATTAGTTGCAAAAAGTATTGCTAATGAATTAAACATTGTATACTTAATCAAATCGTAAAAATGGTGAATTTCATTAAAAGTAGGCCTCAAAAAGTTTATTTTAAGATTATTTTCTCAGTTATTCGAATCAATGGAATTAGAATATGACCACTATACTTTGATTATTCATACAGAAGTACGTTTGCTATCAAAAGGGCGAGTTTTATCACGTTTTTATGAACTTAGAGAAGAACTATTAGTAAATTTTACAAATGGAATATTCCGATTATTTATGCGATGAATTTTGTCAAAAACTAGCATATTTAGCTGATATTTTTGAACACATGAATCAATGAAATTTAAGCATGCAAGGTGAAAATCAAAATTTATTAATACCTTCAGACAAAATGGCTGCATTTAAAGGCAAATTATTGATTTGGAAAAGAAGGGTAAATGATAATAATTTGGATGTTTCCTTTAACTGCTAAAACTAAATTTACTGATGAAATAATACCAATTATCAATGACTTAATAACATTATTGGACCAAAAACTTGATCAATATTTTTCATCGCTTGATTTGAAATTGTTTGATTGGGTGAGGAATCCATTTAATCCAAGTTTAGAAACTACACATCTTTCATCAAAAGAGGAAGAAGAATCTGCAAAATTAAAATCGATCGCACTCTATCAAATGAAGTTTAATGAGTTCGAGCTAGGCGAATTTTGGATTTACACAAAAAAATATCAGAGTTTAACAAATTTGACTCTTTCCGTATTATTACCATTTTCAACGCCATCTACGAGCAAGGTAGCTATTTTTGCATTGAACGAAATTAAAAACAAAAAAAGGAAAAGATTAATTATTGTCGAAGAGGAGTTAAGAGTCACCTTGTCAAAGATTTCACCACGTATTGATGTAAAAAATTATGTAAGAAATATCAATCACAAATTTCTCATTAAATGTTTTATGTTATATTTTTCTTTGTTATTTTTAAGTTTACATTATCAATTAATTATAAATATTTAATATTACCCATTATTTTTATTTTTATTATTTTGTGTCACAAAGTATGAAATATTTTAATAGTGTGTCGCTATAATACAAAGGTTGAGAAACTCCAGAATAAATACTAAAGTTTAAATTTAAAGTGTTGCATATATATCCCGCTACAAACATACTAAGATACGAAATCATAAGTTTTTTACTAAATAATATATTACTAAAAACTTATGATTTTGTAAATAAATTTTAATATTCCATACTAAGATTTAAGATTAAAAAGCATCAAGTCGCGTTTTACATTTTGATTGTGATACACCCGATGATGAATTTTTAATCCGAAACCGTCTAATACAGTTACCGTATTATACAGCGTATAATACACTTATCATAATAGTCCAGGCGACGCATTCATTGCGCGTTCAAACATACATGTTTTATTTATATGTTTATTTACTATATGTATAAATATAAATGTAAACCATTACCTAATATAGCGGCGATTTTCTGTTATTGTCTTACACAAGTGCAACAAAGGAATTGAAATGTGTTTTATACAAACATAACAATTACTCTATTGAAGCGATAAGAATTCTGAGAACCGATTTGTATTTGTCGTCAAGTCTACTTGAAAACCACACTTATCGCGAAACTGAAAGCGACGCTACTAAATACTATATGAATTAAGTGAACTATAATAATCATAAATTCAGAACACGAGAACAATAGTGCGCAGTTGAACCCACATTAATAATGGCTAACAAAAAATAATATGATATCCAAAGATACTGCACAAAAAGGACGCTCGACAAAACGATAACAGCAACTACAGCCAATGGGTACCACGATCAAGGCGGGCCATCTACACCACGGTTACATACTCATTACTCAGATAGCGGTTAGTGGTTATAAGTTATATAATTCAAACATTGATCCATTGACCGTAATATTATATTATATTTAATGATAATTAAATATAATAAAAATTTAATACAATTCTTATATTATCTATGATTACCTATATTATATTAACAGATAATAATTATAAATATTATCAACATTTTCTAAAACACAATTTCTTATCAAATTGTTAATTTTTTTTTTTTTTTTTTTGGTTGCGCACTGAACAATGGACTGCCATTTGTCTGTTCCTAGAGGGCCAAAAATTATAATACGGAATAGGTATGCAAATGTATGCCTTACGCCCCTGCTTTCAGTCCTGATGCCCCCACAAACACATTCTTATAAGTGTTATTTATTACCATTTAAAATTGGTTTCTGTTATTAAAAGTGCATATAAAGATTATGCAGTTTACAAAAACATAAAATTAACAACGTAACTAATATCACGTTTACATTTTATTATAAAACACTTTTGAGAAATGTTGATATGTCATTTTTGATTGTTTCTGTTTATTATACAATAAATATATAATTTAAAGTTGAAAATATGGTTTTAAAAATCTGATATTTTTTCCCTACATGATAACAAGAGTAATCAACAAATATGAATCTGATATTTTTTCCAAAAATCAATACTAATATTATTGTGACTCGTTAAACGCCCGATGTCCTCTACTGGGGACACACTAATAACTTAGTAAAAGACTTGGTAAAACAAAAACATTATTTTGGTCTTATGAAGCTACCCATTATTAAATATTGATAAACGAAAAAAATTAATTCCAGGTCTGAAAGGGTTAATTAGGTTAATAGGTATATGGTACAAAGAATATTTTATGAAGTCTACTTACGATATCATTAGCTAAAAATGTGCATTTACTTACCTATGTTTCTGTTTCCAACAATCCGTGCATTATCCCCACAAATATAAATAATAAACTGCGTACGTTTCACGAAACTAGACTACGCAGTGACGCTTCCGGTGGCAGATTTTCGTAAGGGTTTCCTAAACGTGACTAAAAAAGCACGGTAATTTAAAAACGACACGGCAATCAACCATTGAACAGCTGGCCCTGTTGATATGGATTTTACCTTCCACTGCCAAACATTTTATAACCTCCGTATCGGTACCATAGATACTCCATGATAAACACACAGTCATATTTTTTAAAAACCGTGCAGTATTTCAAATTGCCGCGTATTGTGTGCAAGTTTGAGAAACCGCGGAACATCGAAATTTCACTACCGGAAGTGCCACTGCGGAGTCGCTAGTTTCGTGAAATGTACTGTAGATTGCTTATGGATGTATACCTGTATGAGATTATTGATTATTACTGTATTAGTATATTATAACTTGGATTACTACAGAAAATAGTGTAACCGTGATTTCTGTTATATTTTGTGAATTAGAGATCTACCAATTTTATCAATTATATGAAAAAAAAAATTATTCATTATGTGATTATTTTTCTACGAGTTTTAAATTCAAATTTTGACAAAACTCATAAATATTACGGCCTTTCAAAATCTGTATCACCGAACTTCGATTTGAATCGTTTTTCGTTAGCAATGGTTTATCATTGCTTAAAGATATAAATTAAATACCTATTCGCATGTATCCTACCTAACGAAAATTTGTGACAAATAGACATAATCCTATCCCGTATACACGGATACGTACAGGGATACACGGGTTCATACGAAAAAATACAGTTATAATTAAAAAATTGTACGTAAAATCAGTAAAAATAACGATAATTTGGTTTTCGTGGTGTTTTAATTTTTCGGGATCCATAGTACTTACGTAGGTATCAGAATTTGCAGCGACGTACCTAAAATAATCCATACTAATCATGTAAATATCACGGCCTACGATTTAAAATTTAGTATATCTTAAACCGTGTCACGATTCACGGTCTAAGATTTATTATATCCATGGTAAATATCGAAGAGCTTATCAAAAAATGAACTGACCTATAACCAAATAAATCGTGAATGATACACTTTGCTATATGCCCAGATAACTTATATCTATCTTATAATTATCTTATAGTTATGGTTACCAGACGTACTGTTTTTCGATGAATTGTCCTATGTCCTTAACAATAGTGTTACGTACATGAAATTGTACGCTTTTTTTGAAAATTATAAATAATAAATAATTAAATATAAATATGTAAGAAACATATATAAATATAGTTTTATAATTTTCTTAGCTAAATGCTTACCTTTAAAAATGAATCTGCATATGTATACTTAAGTTATACCTTCTTAAGTTGACTCAAAATTCAAAGTATCTTCATCGTATAGACACAAACCGAATGAGTTGACACTATGGTTTTATTAGTTTTTACATTTGATAATAGACAAAATATTAACAAAGTAATCAGATGATAAAATTAAAAATGTACATAGACGGAGATGAGCTATGGGTAAAATGCGTAGAACAGTACCTATACACAATACACAATGGCCAATTCTTTCAAGGGAGGGGTTTTCTTTATAATGGATGACCTAAATTTTGAAATGTACTTTTTTTGGGATTTTCATATCTGGTCACCATGCTTATAGTTCAATGTATAATGTATATACAATTACAGGGATGCCTACATTATAGGTATCTGTGATATGAAATCAAATACGCTTAGATGATAATATGATAACAAGATCATATATGAACTAAAGGGATAGGTACACAACCAAATATCACAATATTTGTTGTTATTAATTGTTTTTATTATTATTAGTTCATTCTTGTTTCTTGAAATATCATTGTGTGATATGCATAATATACATATCATATACATTGTTTATACCTTATGTGCATGGACACTATGTTTAAGAATATTAAGTTCTTTGTTGGTGGGTGGTGATCTTAGAATAATATTACTCTAAGGTGGCGATATATGTGCAAGCCTGGGCATTAACGAGTTAATTAGTTACAAGTTAAGTTATGTTAACTTATTAACTTAACTTAATTCCTTTAGATAAAATTAACTTAACTCATTTTCTCCAAGGTTAACTTGAATGAACGTATTTTTTTTTCACTTTTATCAATTAAGTTAATTTTGAATTTCAAAACCAGAAAAACATTTTTGTTCAATCCAAAGTTCGATTACAAGTTCATAGAATCTAGAAAATTATCAAAAATAAAATAAAAGATTCCGAAGAATAATATATTTTTATTAAAAGATAAGAACATTTTGAGCACAATAATAGGGGTACCAGGAAACAATATTCGGATCGTATAAATGACTATAAGTCTATAATAGCCAATAGGCAGTAAGTATTTTAATATCAATGAATCCATGAATTATGTTTTACACTACTGTGTTAGCTGTTAGTGTTGATAGTTGTTTTTGCAGTATTGTGTATTATTTTACTTTTCGCACTTCTTTTACTGCCTACCATTTCAAGTCCTCGTGAAGTCTCATTCCTACAAGAATACATCAATGTAACTTTTACATACATATTTGATATTTGTTACCTAATATATGAATAATTGTTTTATTTTTAGATCATGAAACCTTTATCTAGAGCTTTAGATATATTACAGGGTGATAAAAATGTATCATTAGGATATTTGCTTCCCACGATTAATGCTCTTCAACGAGGATTAAATAAAAGGTAATATTTCTGTTTAAAATAGTACTTAACTAAGTAACTAAATGCTTGAAATGCTTAAGAAAATGATAAAAACATAATTTTGTGTTAATTAAATTAGTTATTCGTATTACATAATAATTAATATACCAACACTAGAACCAGAATTTTAATTTAATTTTTTAATAACTATATTTTAATAAATGTAAATACCATGCATTTTGTTTTAAAACTTAATAATTTATGGTTCTTATTATCAATATTTTTGTCGAAATAGTGGAAAAGTTAAATGCTTTATTCTAATATTGCCTCAAAAAGATAAATTAAATCAATTGTTAAATAGTCATTATTTTAATTTGTTTTATACGTAATTCGATTAAAATATATTTAAAATAAGTAAATATATAAATAATTGTATTGAAATAACTTCATAAAATCATTTATATTTTAATTTTTAGATTCATGATATACATGCAGTCCAAGATGTGCCAAATTGCAGCCTGTTTAGTTCCAAAATTTAAATTAAATTGGGTTACACAAGAAGAACGGAACGGCATTAAGAATACTTTTATAGAAGCTGTAGTTGATTATTCAACNGGGAAAATAGTTCTGATACAAATGTTGATATCAAACTTCTGGTCAATAATTATTTGTCTAATGGAAATTTAAAATCTCCATTAGAAATGCCAACCATCCTTAAGGATATGTATATTAAATATAATACTGCCGTACCTTCTTCTGCACATGTGGAACGGTTATTCAGTGCTGGAAGTCAGTTGTTGAGCAAAAGAAGAGGATCAATGGCAGACCAAAATTTTAAGATGTCATTATTAATGAAATTTAATAGGTATTTTGATTGACCAGTTAGTTGTTTTGTTGTTTTATTTTAAATAAACAGTATAATATTAATATATTATCTTTATTATTATGTATTGTGTCTGTTGTAAAATTTTAACTTTAAACCACAGAAATTATTTTTGGTTTTTGTCTTTTGATAGACATAGTATGTTTATGAACTTAAAAATATATTTCTTTAAATTACATTTATAAGTTCACCTTGTAGGAATCATCACCTAGGTTTATGTATTGTCTATGATACTACATGATTAATTAAGATACTACTACTAAACATGGAATAATTGAAAATAATACATTTTTTTTAATAATAAATATTACATTAAGACTTTTTTATAGGTATTGGAATGAATAATTGCAAATTTAAAAGACTATTCAATAAAATAATTANTGTTTTCATTGTAATGATTATTAAGTTTTGTAAATTATGAGTAGAAATCTCTTACTTTGACACCTTACAAATTTTTATTTTTTTCTTGTAATTAACTTAAGTTATTAATTGAAGTTAAGTTAACCAAATTTGTTAACTTAATCTTTAACTTAATTGGTGCGATTACCATATTAGTTAACTTAATTGATAACTTAACTGAAAAAAAACCTGTTAACTTAAATTAGTTAAAAAATTCATTAACTTGCCAGGCCTGTATATGTGCACATACTATTTTCATTAATAAAATGCATTGAATATTGATTTATTTAGGTTAATTTTTCTAATTAATTTTGAATGAGGTATTAGTCCAGATGGCAGATGTTGTTTTACATAAACAGTGCAAGTACCTAGGTACCTAAGTAATATATTTTTATTCGAATTTTCAACATCATTGACAGCATAAATCTTGATTACGACCCAAACTCGTTTTTCAAATTTTTTTACAAAATGTGTTTTTTAATGCTTAATCCATTGGTATAATAAAAACTTATTTATCATACTTACTTTTATAGTTGAAAAACCTACTCATCTATAATGCTATTTCACTTTACCTTGTTACCTACCCGACGTAGTTTTGCACAATAAATCAATGGTTATTTTCGATTAAAATTGTCCGATTGAGCACAGTGAAACACGGTGTGTTTGAATGTTTTAACTCTAAAACTAAGCCGGATAGACTTACTTTTACTTCAATAAAATAAAACTTTGTTATCAAAATATCAATAAATACAAACAATATAGTACAAAAAATGTATATTTTTGACTAGATTTTGGATTGATTCTGAAAATGCTATTTTTTAAGGTTTATTTACAATAATTATACAAATAAGTGTGATAGGTGATTTTTTATTATACCTATGGATTAAGCATTAATACATTTTGGAAAAAAACAAGTTTGAAAATGTTAAATTCTAACTAAGAAATACGCAAAACGGAAAACCCGAACTTCATGCATTTTTCCTTCATAACTTCCAAACGAAGTTCGTCCGATTTTTATTTTTCTAGATACTTAATGTACGGACAAAAAAACACACATTTTGAAAAATAATTGTGAAATACAAGCTGGGGTCGTAAACTCGATATTTTGTTCCTCATTTCGTGATTTCATGATTACTTCCACGGAGAATAAAAATCGTAGATAATAAAGAAGGTTTATAGATAATATTATCTAAAGAATTTGTATAAAAAATTATAATATTTCGGTAGTTGGACAAAAATCGAGAGATGCGATAAAATGGATATAATATATAATATACATAATATAACAGTTTGGAATATCCTTGTTTACCTTTACACTGTGGAAATGTGACTTTTTATTAGACGTTGTCGTGCCTATTGGAAACGTCGACTGTGGTCGGGGACGGGTGGGCGACGGCTAAATACTTACCAGTGAGTCTGTTGATCTGTAGCCTTGTCGTTGTCGATTTTTAACCTATAACCTGTAGCTGTACGAGTTTTGTTTTCAAATAATTTTTTTATAATCGTATTTTTCGTCTTGATGAGGTTTACGCAACTGCGCCAAATCCTAAGCGAATAAAGAACAATGTAATACATCACAGTAGTTAAATTACACTACATATATCAGGTAAGATAAACATAATATACAGTTCTCTAAAACGATATTGTTGTTGTAAACGTAAATTAATAAATTGTAGTTTGTAACGATTATACGTGATATAATTATTCTTATTGTGTTACATATTTACTAGTCACGTTTCAAAACTCATTTCTAATCTAGTTTTTTTGGTATTTAGTCGTGTGCATAATTAACTGTTTGAAATGGATACACCACCGAGCACAAGCAGATATTTTTTAAGGCGTACTACCAGATCAGTGACTAATGCTGTAGATACTGCTTCTACCATAACTAGTCCTCTGTATGAAGGTAATTTTGGTGTGTACTTAACCGAACAATACGATGTGCTCAAGATGGTTTTGTCGTATCTGAACTATCACGATCTCAATGTACTCCGGCAAGTCAATAGGTCCATGCGAAAGGCTGCTAATATACTTTTGAAAAAACGTAGTTGGATTCAATGTTCGTCTCTATCGTATGTGTACAAGAGTGATTATTGGGCGCCACCAGCTTATCATGGACATTATGTTGATTTGAAAATTGAACCAAAAGTTTTATTTAGTTTTGAAGCCTTGGCTAGTGGGTATTCCGTTCGGTCCAGACCAACTATCTGTTTGCGTCTACGAGAAAAAAACGGTACTTTTGATCCTAGAGCTGACCTTTTGCCAAGTTCAGTTGAAGTGTTTGTACCAGTGGGTGCAAAAGGTATAATTTATCCAGAAGCAAATGATAGTGAAATGATTATTAATATTATGCATAGCAGTCTTCATAAAAAACTGGCACTAGTCTATTTGCCTAAAAGTAACGGTTATGATATTACTGTTTTTAGTCATGTAATTGCAGCAGAATCATTTCCAATACATGAATATATTTCCAGTGATCCTCGCCCTATTCGAGGGCTAATATTTCTGAAAGTTGGTACAATGAACATTGATGCAATGATGAGATTTATAGTAAAAATGGTGGAAGATAATCAATCTGAACCTTTTGCATTAGCTGGAGGACATGTATCAAGCTTGGAGTGTGATAACCCACCAAAAAAGAATCAACCAGGTATTTTCAAGGTAATTATTATTCGTGGCAATGGTATACGTTGTTTATCAGATATCATTAGTCAAACTACAATTGAGGCTGTGAACGAAGAATTAAAAGTTACTTCTACATATGTTAAAAACAATTTTGGAAAATATGATGTTCATAAGACAATTATACTGATGTTCCAGTGTGTAGATAGGTATTTATTGTCTACTGAAGACCACGTTCAACTTGCAAAAGCATTTCCGGATATTCCCATTGTTGGTGTGCAAACTTGGGGAGAGATTGGATTGAGGTCTTTTAATCCAACCGATTCAAAATTTACACCAAAAAAAAAACGAATGCCCCTGGTGCACTCAATTAAGACAACATTTATGCTCATGGCTATTGACTAAAAATTTAAACTTAGCATATTTACTTTATTAGTTACGTGAACATTTTAAATTAGCTTTATAAACATTACGTTTTATTTATAACCTAAATATAGTTATTTACAAACTCCCAAAACATTATAATTTTTACCTAAGGTTTTAATTATTATACTTAACTAAATTATAACAATCAGAGTGAATCATTATTATTTTATAAAAAATTGCTATTATTTATGTGGATTATGAACAAATTATATCTTGGTATAATCCCATAATAAAATTAAAGAATTTGTTGTTCTAAATAATAAAATAATTTTAAATAAAGTTAATCAAATTACTTGGGAAAATGTTGATTGTTTTGAAATGCTTCATTAATTTTTTTAAGAGCATGGATGTTTGATATAATTTTCATATAAATTATGCATTGCTTATTACATAACACACTATTATAATATTTAGGGTTATTAATTATTAGAACTCAGATAATATCATTAATACATTTACATATTTAAATGCAGTTTATATATAGAACATCATTTTAAATTTATGTGGATGTTTATTTGTTGTTTAGGTGAACATTTTTTTTATTTTAAATTTTCAATAATATTAGTTACAATTACAATAATAAATGTTTGTAATTTTGTGCACTGGTTAAATAAATTAACCTGCTGGACATTTTAAATTGAATGGTAAAAATATTATTTTAAATATTCTTAAATTTGTTTAGGTTTAGAGATCAAAATTGTTTGAAAAAATTGAACAAAATAAAATGTAAAGAAAAAAATATATTTCACTTTTTCTTTTTAAATTAATAGAACAATTAAATTAAAATAAATTATATTCTACTGAAGTTCATAATGTTACAACAATGTATACAATGTTTATATTTTCTATAAGTGTTTAAGTAACTGTATTATTTTTATTTAATATATTTTTAATTTTATGGGCTTAACATAATAATTAATATTTTATAATTTAGTTGTTACTTAATATGAAAACACACATGTTGTAACTGATCAACTGATCTAAAATTTAGAATTTCATCTTTTATATACATTTGTATAAGATATTCAAAAATAGTAAAAATTATTATATATAATGTAAAAGAGTATATTAAATAAATATATAAATAAAAAATAAAAATAAATTAATGATTAAATACTAAGTTCCTATCCAAAAATGTGGAATTAAATATTATTTTTTAACATCAATATTTTAGGAATGTATTTACTATTTGTTGGTTTTCATAATATTTTACTGAATATACCTGGTATTTTGATCTCTAATTCTAAATAAATGTAGTAGTAATAATAATTTAAAGTTAAATGACACAATTATTCTTTTGATTCAGTATATCTCAACTTATAACTATTATCTCTATAGAATTTGACCCAAATTGAATCAGTGATGAAAATAAAGTGTATTGAATTAGAAAAAATATAAATAATATTGTAGATCAAGGCTCTCTTCAAAGCTGATACTTAAGATTTGTTTTTTTTTTTAAGTTCAGTAATTTATGAGATGATCTCAAAATGTGTCATTCCCAGAGTAACAATATTTTTGATCCTCAAGACTTAATAGTTTATATACTTGTGTAATTATTTATGTTCAATAAATTTAAGTTTCTATAATCAATTTTTTATAAAATTTTAAAACTATTAAACATAATTTATGTATGTATTAATTTTTAAATGTTAATAGATTTAGACTTAGATTTAAGGACTAAATTGAGACTATATGGTACACTATTTTATTATTGATTTAATCACTATTTTCTTTTTATCTATAAATTGTTATTTTTATAATTTATTTCTTTGTTTACGGATCATTTTGCATATTTCACAAATAATAATTAAGATTTAACAATCACAACTTGTAATATTTTTATATTTTTATTTGTTTATACATTTTTAATTTCTTCCGAATTTTAAACATAACCATTATTATTATTACATAATTAATAACTTATAATATGTAATATAAACATAAAATACCATTATTATGGTAATTTGTAATGTTTATTATTTGTTTATATTACTCAAGTTCAAGTTGGCTTGAAGTTAAGTTGACTTAAATTAATTTGTTTCTACTATGTTCAAATCTTAATAATAAATCAGAAAACTATGATTATTTTTGAGACTTAAACATATTGATTTACATAAATAGGTATTATAATATTTTATTAAAGTCCAATACTCAAATTATTATTATTAATTTTTTTAAATGATAATTGTGTTTTAATAGTAGAAATAACTGGGTCTGGAGTAGTGTTGTAATAAGATACTTTAAATTAGTATCTAGATACAGATACATTTCATTTGAAAGTTTCTAGATACAGTTATAAGTATCTTAAGAGTATCTTAGAATCCATTTAAGAAAACAGTTAATTTTTTTTATAAATACCTATTTAATTCATTAAAAATATAGAATTATAAAATTATAACAAAACATGTAATGGGTGTCTAATTTATAATAAAATAATTTTTATTTACATTTTTATCTTAGTTTTCAAATATAATTTAATTCTTATAAAGTTATAAGTTATAATACATATATATATATAACAATATTCAAATATTGGTTAATTATTGGGAAATATAAAATAAATAATGGGTATTATCCACTTATCAATACACAGTAGTCACACACTCATACATAATAATTTATAATGATAAAGAAATCAGAGAGTAATACATATCAACAATAAATTGTTGATATTTTTATTTCAAAAAAATTAGATTTTAGAATTTTAAGTTTTATTTTTGTATTTTTTTGAATCAGAAAAGTAAGAATTGTCTTAAAAAGTATCTTAGATACTTATATAAAGGTACACAATATTTTGTATCAAAGATATAGATACAGGTGCATTTTTTTTAGAAAGTATCTAGATACAGGTACAAGATACAAAAAAAGTATCTAGATGTATTACAGCGCTGGTCTGGAGTTTAGAAGTTTACATACAAATATAATTTTATTACTAAATGCTACCCATCAATTTACTTTCAGGTTGAAATTATAAACATAATAATATCTAATTAAGCCATTATGTTAGTTTAATGAGACAGCTCTTCTCATTAAATTAACATAAATAGGGGTGAAATATACACCTAAACCCTCTTATAAGTGCTGTAAGTACTATGATTCAGTAAAACTTTTTAATTTTATACAAAAAAATGTATAATTTATTGACTTAGTTTTTTTTTAAATTTATTTTCTAAAACCATACCTTATATTATACCTATTTATGTCTTTATTTAATATTTTTGTTTCATTGTTGATTAAAATAACTTTTATTTATTTATTTTATACAAAATTAAAAGTACAAAATATTTTTAATTTTTTTTAAACCTTAAATTTGTTTATATTAATTTAAAAAAAATATATTTTGTATAATTTAAATACTACCTACTAGTAGCACTGTCTTGAAAAAATGTTTTTTTTTTTTTATTTATCAGATAGTTAGTGAAGCTTTTTATTATTATTTAAGAGAATATAATGTATAAGTATAAACAAATTCTGCTGTATTAAGCATAGTTTTATTATTATTCAAATATTTCAATTTGTAGTTTAATAATTGTAATTAGTAATTACTTTATACTTTATATACTTTTAAAATTTTTTTCATATAATATTGTTTGCTAGTCATGTAAAAATATTATTTTTTTTAAGACAACTGACAGTTACAAAATTGTGTTCAAAAAATTATTATGTGTCTATTAAAGGCATCTAAATAGTGTATGTATATAGTATGTAATATATGAGAATATAGGAATTTATAAATATTATCATATAGATCAATTATTATTATTAGAATCATAAAAAGTAATTGTTCAAAAATTGTATTAATTGTAAGTGTTCAAATTGTCTGCATTATATCATTGATTATACATAATACATATAATATCTATCCATTTGAGCATAAACTATTAGATATTCTAAAAATTATGTAATCAAATATATTTTATTATAATTTATTTGGTATATCTTGCTTATGACTATTATTAAGTACCTATATATGTATGTAGAACAAAAACTAGAGTATAAACTTAAGTTATTAAAAAGTCTTATTCAAAAAAATATTTTCTGATATTCAGTACAATTGTTTTGAAAAATATATTGCGTCAATAGTTATTATTAATAATATTTAACACAACAACGTTATTCCTGTAGACTGAAATATTTCATTATTTACTTTTGAGTAAAATATAATATATATATATATACATAATATATAGTATATTCAATATTATTAAAAAATAAATCAGTTTTTATTTAAGAGTACATGTAATGTGTTTCTTTTGAAAATAACCAAATAAATAAAATAATTTAACATGACAGAAAATAAAATAGGTTCTTTTTTTATTTAAGTTGTATACAAAATAAACCAAATGAAAAGTTTCATTTAGTTAACAATTATTGTGTATTTTTTTAACAATATTAATATCTTAAGATTCCACATGGTAAAATAATGTAAAACAATTTCTGATATGAGCAAGGACAACTGATGAGAGGAGGTACCATGGTGCATGAAGTTTGCAGATGATATAGCTTTGATAAGAGAAAATCTGGAATAAAGTAATAGAGGAATTTTTGAGGAATAGAGAATAACACTTAAAGGAAACTGACTGAGGACAAGTAGAACAACAAAGTATAAGTTTAGAGGAACAGGACAATAAGCAATTATTGGATGGGTTGAAATTTGTATGTAAATTGGCTGACTCCAAATGGTTGGGTTTGACTAGCTATTTAATTTTGATAATTTGCAAAAACACAATAAAAATAGAATTTATCTTTTTTATAAAACATTAATTTCTCGAGTGCACTAAAAGGGGTTAACTAATCATAATTTATAATTTATATTTTTTTGGTTCAACAAAATACAAAAATAAAACATAAAATTCTAAAATCTAATTTTGTTTAAATACAAATATCAACAATTTATTGTTGATATGTATTACTTTCTGATTTCTTTATTATTATAAATTATTATGCATGAGTGTATGACTATTGTGTATTGACAAGTGGATAGTAACTATTATTAATTTTATAATATTAATCAATATTTTATTATTGTTATAATGTATTATGTATTTTAGCTGACAATAATTATATTATAACATAACTTTTTAAGAATAAAATTATACTTGAAAACTTACATAAAAATGATTGTATTATAAATTATGTACCTACCCATTATCTACTTGTTTTGTTATTTATTTGTAATATAATTTATATAATTACACAAGTACACGAGGTCCAATTACAATAAACATTGTTTATCTTATTATTCACAGTTAAGAGCTAAGTTTACATTATTTTTAAATTCACAAAAACTATTAACAAAATATTCAATATTGTACCTATACCTTCTTATTTAATAATTAATTGGTGTATTTAATGCTAATTGATTACTTGCTAAAGGCAAATAAAACAAATTGACATTTCTTAAATTAATTTTAGGAATTTGAAAACTAATCATACATAATAATTCAGGACATTCAATTAAATTATTAAGTAATTTATATAAGAAAAATAAATCTAATATTTTCCTTCTTATTTCTATAGTATTTAAATTTAATATACTGAGTTATTATTATTAATAGCTCATTAGACATATGTGCCTCTCTATATATATTACAATTAATAGAAACAAATCTTAAAAATCGGTGTTGGACAGCTACTAGTCCTTTAATTAAAACTATCTGATGTGGTGCTCATAGAGTGGAGTTATATTAAAGACATGATTAGGTAATGCTCTGAGGGGGGGGAGGGCGATCGCTTCCCCCCATAAGTCGTGTGGTGTTCTTTTTTTGTTACAAAAAATATCAATAATCCTTAAGTACAAATAAGTACAAATGCAATTGGTTCCAAATACCATAAAGATGGTTCCAGATCTTGGACATACTTTGATTGAATCAAGAACGAAACACTTCTCATTTATACATTTCAATAAATATTCTCCAAGGGTGAAATAGAATTATGGAAAACTAAGTAGGAACAATCAATTTGCAAAGATATAATAAAACAATAAATTGGAAATGAATAATTTAATTTAAATTTTAAGTTCTGAGTGAACCTAACCAATTGGATTTACAATGATTTTTTTTTTTTATATACTGTGATAACAATTTCTACCAGAAATCTTACTTCAATATATAAATGTAGCACGTTTTTTGAAAGAAAATATTGTCATATTGACTAGTTGATACTTTGGGAAGGTCATTTTTTGATTTTCCAAGCAGTTTCCATAATATCTGGATTACCCAGACTAAAACTTAAGGAAAACGAGAAAAGTTAAAAAGGCTTTTATTATTTTCAATTTTGTTTTTTGTTGTAATTAAGTTAAAAATATTCGTAGAGACTTGAAATTTGGACAGAAGTCTTATATTTGTCTTTTCTTGACGTAAGCAATTTTTTGAATAATTTATAGACGTTTTAATTTTGCGAGTTTTGTACGTAATTTTTATTCGGTAGGTACTCTGTGGATAAAATTGTTAGACCAAACAGAAATGCTCGAGAATTTATCATGAAATTCATTAACAGTTATAATTTGTGGGGAAAAAAAAAACGTTGAGCAGAGGCTAACTAGCTTATCACTTTTAAAAATTCGTCGAAATGAAAACAATATTAATATAGAAAATATTGTTGATCAAACCGCTGCTTAAAATAAAAGTATTTTGGACTTAATCACAGCGGCGTGGTGAACGACGTTTCTCTTATACAATTGCTTAGCCCTGGAAATGGGTGGGGACCTCTACGAAATTTTATATGCACGAAGTACGAATATTATTATGTGATATTTGTTGAGTAGGTATATAAATAATTTAATATACAAAATCCGAATAATACACAGTTAACTGTAACTTATGAGTATAAGCTATATACTCATATATTATGAGTAAAGACCGGATTTAATTGAAATTACAACTTTTTTTGCAATAAAGATAAATTAGATCTGGTTAAATATACAGTCGATATGTCCTAAAAATATTTTGCTTATTTAATTTTATAATGCATTTTTTTTCAATTTTCGACGTTTTTGCAATTTTTTGAATTTTGAACGAATTGGACGTTTGGAAATCATAGGCGTTTATCGTTCGTCTGGAATTTTCTAAAAGTTTTGAGAGCCTGGCGAGCAATAAGCGTTTATATATGTATGGTGGTAATTAAATTCAACATTGTAGTACAGCGATTCGTGTTTGTTTACCTGTTGGTACCTTGTAGCTATTTCTTTGATCAGTTTGACTGCACAGGTAACGTACTCGACGTAAAGCCTAAAATAAAATCAACTTTAAAAAGTAAAATTTCGAATTGGATTGCTCTTTAAAATGAAAATAAAGACGTATTTTCATCAGATAGAAAGGTTATATATTGTCTCGGTAAGTAACAAATCTGTGACTACTGATAAGAAATATTGATTAGATCATCATTCCAAATCAAGTAAGTTTGTATTTTATTCTCATGCTACACTTAATACACTACATATTATTTCAAAAATACATGTATATTTTTTTTAATTCATTGCATAAATGCCTTACAAAGGAATAAAGAAAAAAAACAGGTTTTGATTACTACTAAAAATTCGAATATTAAAAATGTATTTTTTAAAGATTTATGAAATGCATTTGTTGCTGCAAATATCCCTTTGCATAAGCTGGACAATCATGTGTTAAAATCATTTTTGGAAAAACATACTGGCCAATCAATTTCGGACGAAAGCACTTTAGGAAAAAATTACATACCGCATATTTATAAAAGCGTTATGGACCAAATAATTGGTGATATTGTAAATAATTAAATTTACACAATTGTTGACGAAACAACTTATCAAAGAGATTTGTATAAATAATTTTTTTAATTTCTCATATAACAAAATATACTATTTTCGTTTAAGTTTGGCTATCGCTAATTTATTAATTGATAAATTAGATGGGACGCCCAGTAAATCATATTTAGTTCAGAACTAGAATCCACCAATTATGTAACTATTTGTCAGTTAATTAATTCAGTTAAAAATTTTCCTGGTATTGAATAAAAATTATTATTTTTTATTAGTGATGCCTAATAATAAAATGCCTGCTATATAACCAAAGGAGTAAAAACATGAAAAATATTTTTCCAGAAATTAATTCATATTACATATATTGCACACGCAGTTAATAGAGTTCTAGAGAAAATTCGAGAATTGTACCCCGACATTAATAAATTGATTAACAATGTTAATATATTAAGTACCCATTTAAAATTAAAATACACATATGTAGCTTAATTCGTTTATTTCAGGAAAAGAAGCTCTTCTAAAAACACTATCGAGAATAAAGAAATGCGGGGTATACCTTTATTAGCCGAACCTATTGTTACAAGATGAGGAACATGGTGAAATTTTGTATTTTTCTATGCAAATAATTTTAAAAGAATTTAAACACGTGATGATTGAAAGTTTAACAGTTGATGCTACATATTTCGAAGAGCTGAAACAGCTTGTACAAAACAATGTAGTCAAATGTGGTTTAGCATTTATAAAATTACATTTATCGGAGTTATCCACGAATATTAAAAAATTGGGAGAATCTTATAGTAAACTACTGAAAAGCATCGATATTTTTAGAAAAATTGAAGATATTTTAACAAATATTCCTGGTCCAAATAGGAAAAAAATTAAAGAAAATGTATGTATTTAATTAATAAAAATTAAAAAAATGAAGGGTATATAACTTTAAAGTCTTAGTATGAAGTCATGTCAGGTAAAGCAAATATTAATTTAGATATAACGCCTACTTTATTAAATTGTTTTAAATATGCACCAATAACTGGTATATACGTAGAGCGTAGTTTTTCTTCATACAAACATATTTAAAATAATTGAAGATTTAATTTTAATGAAAATAATTTAAAAATATATCTAATTATGAATTTTAATTAAAATAAAGTAACATTTATCTAATTTTTTTTATATAACTTTTTCATTTTTATAGTGTAATTTATTATGTAATTTGTACGTATTTTTTGGTGCATTTATATAATTTTAATATTGCAATTTTTGTGTGTTTTAAGTGCAATTAAATCCGGTCTTTAATTATAACAATAAAGATTACGGCGCATTAAATAATTATTTAAAATCAATTGATTGGTATTTAGAATTTTCTAATTTAGTCTTAAATCATGCCGTTAATCATTCCTATAATATTATTCATGGGATAATAAATGATTATATTCTTACACGTACCTATTACTCATCGAAATCCAAAAAGTGATTTAATAAAGAATTGCAAGTTCTCATTAAACAAAAATAAAAATAGCACACATACATTTCAAAAAACTGCCTAATAATCAAAGCTATACAATTTTTTCACATCTTCATAAACTATGTAAAAATAAAAGTAGAGTAGACTATAATAATTACATAAACAACATTCAAAACTCAATTAGCAAAAACAGTAAACTATTCTGAAATTTTTATTAAACTAAAATCATCTCTCTCAAATCATTTCTAAAAAGAAATTTCACTAGGACGGTACTTTAGAGAGGTTATTTTTTAATTTTCCTAAGAGTTTTCCCAGCAAATGTAAAAAACTAGAATAAAACATGGGAAAACCGGGAAAAACTTAGGAAACTGAGAAAATCGGTATAACATTAAACAAATATTATTAAAGAAAATGTATAAAGTCTATTTAATTATTTCACTATAAAATGAAATATATATATTGTTGACAAAGCATCATTGTTAACTGAACTCAGCTCAGAATCGTTTTTTCGTAAGCAATAGTTTATCGGTGCTTACATGTATACATTAAATTATTTAGAACAATGGCTGCATCTGTTCCCATTATCCTAGGACGTCTTTTTTTCATAATATTTGTATTCATAACACATAGTACAATGTTTTTTTTTAAATTTTTTGTTTGGTTTGCTCTTCCTCAATGATCCCATTATAACGATCATTTTGGTTTAACTATATCTATATTGCTGGTTTTAGGTCCCGATTTCGAAGAGTAGACATGTTAAAATTAATAAAAACAAATCCATT